TGTGTGTGTGTGTGTGTGTGTGTGTGTGTGTGTGTGTGTGTGTGTGTGTTTACTAAGCCTGCTAGGCTTCAAGGGTGAGGGTCCTGTGGGTTGGGGGCCCACCAGCGCTCACAGACCCGCAGGGTCGAGAAGTTCTGCCTCTTCCCCACTGGCCTGCCTCCCTGCCCCTGACTTTGCCCCCATTCCTCCATTCTCACGGGACAAGACAGGGTCCTGGGACCTGCAGTATGGGTGGCCTCCACCCAAGACCTGCCCTGTTAGGTGGAGCACTCCAGAGTGGCCTTGTGGGCACTGCTCACGCTTCAGTCTCAGGTGCACCTGGGATTCTGTCCCAACCCAGCTCTTTGTGAGCTGCGGGACTCCGGGAAAGCTGTGTTTAGATGGCTGTAAGACTCTGCCTGGGAAGGGAAAAGATGAAGTCTCAGTAAATGGTACCATTGCTCCCTGCCTCCCACATTCCACTCCAGGAACCCGGAAATGACACCTGCTTGCTCAGGCCCTCAACTTAAATCCCATGTGTTAGCGAGTCCTGGCAAGGCTTCCCGTGAAATGTCTGCCCTCTGCCCCCTTGTGGAGTGGACAGGAAGGGCCAGAGGAGGACAGGAAGGACCTTGAAGGGCAGCCCAACTCCCACTAAGCTTCAGACCAGGGGAGTACCCACGGAGACATCCTGAGCCTGTGTACTGGCCATGGGCCTAAGGAAAGCAGGCTGCTAGGCAAACTTCTGCACCTCCACCGCCCACCTCTCCTGCGTCTGGAGGGTGGGCTATTTTTAGAAGGAAGGCTGGTTGGGGAAAGTGCCTTATTCATCCTGGAGGTAGCAAGCCCTCCAGGAAAGAACAGAGGGGCCTGTGTCTCCTGCCTGCTCCTCGCTCACCTGTGGCCTCGTACCGCCCCCCTGGGCCTGTGGACTCTGTTGAGCTACATTTATGCAGGGCTCCCCATTGCCGGGCCCTGAGTTTCCTCAGGCCTGGGTCAGGCTGGCCAAGGGCAAGGGGCCATGTTGGGATAATGGGGGGGAGGGTGGCACACCTGGTGTGTGGGCCCAGGCGGTGATCAGCTTTCTGCCCTTAGTGCCAACCCGACCTGCCAGCAGGGCTCCCCTCCTGCAGTGGGTCAGAGCCAAGAAATGATGTTGCTGGACCCCGTGGAGGGACAGGACCCTCCCGTGGCTCAGGAGGAAGTGCTACCCAACCTCCCACGAGGACGCTGTGGCTGACTGGGTGGGATCCTGTCATAGCCAGAGCCAGCACTAGCCCTGGGCAGCTCTCTTTGAGACAGGAGGGAAGAGGGCAGGGCACAGCCATTAAAGGAATGACACAGCAACTGAAGATTTGACTTCCAGTGACCTTGAGCTTCATTACACGCTCATTATACTGTATTACTATGGCAAGTGACACACCCACTGGGGCCATGACAGTTCCCAGGCTGACCAGGAAAGTGGAAAAGTAGGCGGTGGCCCAAGTCCTGACAATCCCCGCCCCTTCCCCAAAGTAGCCGGAATAACCCTCCCACTTGTCAGCATAGGAAATTACAGCCCATAAACACTAAGCCCATGCCTGGCGCCGATCCTGCTTTCCTAGGTGACCCCAGGCTCTGCGGCCGCCTCTGGCCTCTCGAGATGGGCCGTGTTCTGCCTATAGAACGTGTCTCTCCCAAGCCTCTTATCTCTCGCCTTTGGAGATGGCCTGCACTCGGTCTGCAGAGTGTGTAGCTTTTACTCTAAACACCTCCCTCTCCCACGCCTTGTGGCCTCTCTGGCCTTCTGAGACGGCCCACACTCTGCCTACAGAGTGTGTATCTCTTAAATAAATTTACTTTTACTCAATTGTGGCTTGCTCTTGAATTCTTTCCTGTGCGAAGCCAAGGACCCTCCCCTGGCGGGTGCATCCCAGTGAGACAGGAAGGAAGGGGGCAGGGCACGGCCATTCAAGTAATGACACAGCAATTAACACCAAGATGGTGGAAAATCTAACTCCTGCTAGGCCTTGAAGCCCAGGATGGCAGGAGATTAGACTTCTAGGAGACCTTGAACTTCACTATACACTAATACATTAGCCTGGCCAACGGCACGCCCACAGGCACCATGACACTTCTGAGGCTGACCATAAAAGCTCAAAAAGTGGGCAGTGGCCCAATTTCTGGGAATCTCAGCCCCTTTTCCTATATCATCAGGGGCTCAACAGAGACCTGGGACTCGCCCCATTTTCCTGTATTAACTTCTTACCTCAGTTTCCTCATCTATACAATGGGACTTACGCAGGAATTTAATGAGATTCAGGCTGGATTAGTCACTCCACCCACATACCATGCCTCCCACACCCTGGGTGGGTAGCAGGCGACAGAAAGGAGTGTTGCCCTCCAGATGCAGCCAGGCCTGGAGGCCCCCGGGAGAGGCGGGGAGGCTGCACTGGAGACAGCTGGTCTTGCCTGGGGCAGCCTTGGCTGAGGAAGAGCGGAGCAGTGGACCCCAGGCAGGGCGCCAGAGGAGCACATAAACAGCCCCACCAGCTGCACCCACCCTCACGGTGGGCCACCCAAGGGGTCACGCACTTGGCATTCTGGTCGGGTCAGCCTGGGCTCTGAGCAGAGGCCCTTGCTTGGAAGACAACTGGCAGAACCAAAATTGTCCTTAGCTCCTGGAGTCCCCACCAAGCGTGCCCACTGACCACCAGGAGGAGCCTCTATTTCCGCTTCAAACCAGAGAACAAGCAGGGTCGTGATCCAGACCCTGGGCCATGGACGGGGGCAGGCAGGGGCCGTGGTGCTGGCCAGACCTGGCGAGGCAAGAGGTGGTGGCTCGGCTCCACCCACCGGGACAGGCCCAGCCCTCTTGAAGCATCAGCCCGGCCACTCGGGCTCTCTCTATCGGGTGCTGTCAGTTGCTGGAGACGGGCAAGGCCTGCAGGGCCCAGGGAGAGCAGACCCTGGCCACGCCCTCCTCCTGTCACTGGGGGCAAGAGGTCTGGTCCTCAGGGCTGGCCCACTGGCGGCCGGCATCACCCGGAGCCTCCCCCGGTGCTCCTGGCAGGCTCCGTGAAGAGGCTGCAGAAACACAGAGGCCTCCATGTCAGCGGGGCTGCACCTTGGAGAGGTGTGCAAGGAAGCCGGAGGGGGTGGGCTGCGGCCTCGGGAGGCCGGCCATGGGCTCCCGCCTGGCTGAAGGAGGGGGTGCTGGGTGCGAGGTTCCAGGCAAGGGAGGGAAGGAGGATGCGGCACCCTCTCCGGCACACCTACCAGAGGAGGGGAGTAGCTGACAGGACAGGGGTGCAGGAGCTTCTGAGTGACCGGGATCTCCCAGCGTCCAGATCTCAGTGGTTACCCAAGGGCTGATCTGGGTCCTGGACAGAACCTGACAAAGGTTGAAGGGACTCTGGGGAGGGGAGGGGGTTACTTCTGGGCCCTCACTGCAGGGAGGGCTGACCCATGTGGGCTGAGGGCAGGGGCAGTGGAGGGGATCCGGGCAGGGGTGTGGAGCCGACATCTGAGGAAGAGAAGGGGCAGGCAGCTGCGACGCAGCTCCAGCTGGGGCCAGATTCATTTCCCCCCCGGGGGGGACAGACTCCCGCGGGGTCTTCAGAGCACAAAGCTGCCCAGGGCCCAGCTCACACCCCCCCACGCACCCCCCCCCCCCCACAGAGGCCTCCATTGCCCAGCCTGCTGTTTCTCCTGTGCCTCAGCCCTGGCTGCTGGCTGACCCCTCTCCTACCCACATGGCCTCCACCCAGAAGCTTTCCTGGCTCTGTCCGCAACCGCCCCCCTCCGCCTTCAACTAGGGCACATAGGCCACCAGGCTGGCCCGTCTCCCCAACTTGTGGGTGCCTGGGCTGCTCAGCACCCACACCCTCACCCCTTTCAGGCCCTAGTGGACAAGGGCACTTGCTCCAAAGGGGATGGATACTCAGGGAGAAAAGAGGGGAGGCAGGGCTGGAAAGTGGTGGTGGGAACAAACGCATACTGTATGCCAAGCCTGGGGCCACAACAGGGGATGATCGTGTGCAGGTGGGAGAGGGGATGGTGACAGGCAACACGGAGAGGGCCAGACCAAGCAGTAGTGCAGAGGGCTGGCACACTGGTGGGGAGTGAGGAGACTGGTGGGGTGGAGGACCCTGCTTCTGACTCCTCTCTTGGGACCCCTGCAGGCAGCCTCTCACTCACCAGCAGCAGCCTGGCTCTGGATGGACCCCCTCTGGGTGCCCTCCGGGGGCCAGCGCAGCTCCCCACTCTCCATGGCACTCAGCTCACTGGGCTCTACCACGACTGAAGGCAGCCGCTGGCCCAGCCGAGGGCCCTTCTCCCAGGCACCCATCATAGCCTGCAGGGAGGGTGGACAGCGGTCAGGGCAGCGCCAGGCCTGGGCTCCCCCACTCCCTCCCACACCTGTCCTGCACCCCGTCCACTGGGAGAGTCTGGGGCCTATCCTGCCCAGTCTCCAGGGCCAGGGTGAGCAGATGAGCATGTGTGTGTGTGTGTGTGTGTGTGTGTGTGTATACATCCCCCAAGGGGTCCCAGCTCCTCTCTCATCACACCAGCTGGGAAACTCCACACCTACGGTTGCAGCTGGGGCAACATAGGACCCATTTCACAGACAGGAGCATGAGGCTGGAAAGGCCAAGGTCACAGAGTGAGTGAGCTCAGGGCTTCTGTGCATCCCCAGCTGCCTCCTGTACCCACACAGCCCCTTTCTGGGGTCTTTCCTACTGGGCCCTTGGAGGTGCTGGGAAGCTGTTGCCAAGGCAACCTGGGCAGCTTGCTCTGGCGCATTGTTCAGTGCCCACAAGAGCCACGTGGGGGCCGCCTCCCCAAGCCCTGCTGGTGCCATCAGTACTCTGCGTCCCATTCAAGGCTTCCCAAAGATGAGGCCTGAGCTGCCAGTGCTACCATACAGACCTCTGGCCCCGTGCCACAGCAGCCCTGACCCCTGCACCATCCCGCCTCCGTGACTTCGCTCTGGCTGGTTCCCTTCCTGGTGCTCCCCAGCCCCATCTCTTTTACCTAGAAGGATAGTTGCTTGGTGCATGTCTGCCTACCCCCTGAAGGTGCCTCGAGGAAGGGAAGGCGTACATCTGGCAAGACTTTGCTAATTGGCCCTTGAACCCCGGAGGCAGAACCCTCTGGACACGTGCGTAAATGCAGTATCTGGGTGGGGGCCCAGGAATCAACATTTTAACAAAGCACGGCTGGTGACCCATAAGTGTGAAAACAGGTGTCACCAGGCTGGGATGTCTGTGGAATCAGTGACAACGGAGCAGGGACCCTGGCATGTCCCAGTGACTGGACCCTCCTGAGGCCCCCTGCTGGCCTTGCTGGTTCAGGGGCTCCTTCCCCTTCTTGGAATCCCTCCGCACCCCATCCTGCCATTCTCCTTTCTGCCCTCCTCCAGAAGCCAGGGGCGCTCCTCTGCCCAGAGTGTGCCACTAGAGAGTGAGATCCAGGCCAGTAGATCTTGGAGTTCCAAGGCCTGTGGTTCACCCTCCCCATCCGCCCTGCTAGGAAGGCTGTGTCTGCAACCCTGGGCTCCAGACTGATCCTTGGGTGACTCTAAACTTGTCCCCTGTCTGGCCCTGCTGCCTCCAACCATGAGAAGAGCCCAGCTCCAGAGCTCAGCATATCAGGACTGCACCCCTTGTGTAGGGACCTCACTTTTCAAAAAGCAGAGCTGAGGGCAGGGAAACCTGGCATTGCCTCACCCGAAAGAGGGCAGATGGCCTTGGGGCGCAAGCTCTGGGGTTCCCAGGGCCTGGAAGGGCGCCAAGTAAGCCAGGGAGCTGGGCTTTCCACTGCTTCGTGCCTCAGGCTTCTGCAGTGGAGCCACCACCCCCGCCCAGATCTGTAAACTGAGGCATGGGCCAAGTCACAGGCCAGGGCTTGAGGCTGACTCCGCGGACCCCAGGGCCCCAACTACATACTTTTCCTGTTGGGCCTCCAGCTTCCTCGGCTAGGCTGTGCTCTGGCATGACAGGCTGAGGGCCACTCATGCTGCCGCCACTGTCGCGCTGCAGGAAGGAGCAGAGATGAGGCATCTGCCAGATGCTGGGTCCCATCCTTCTCCCGGAAGCTCAGCTGACTCCAGACCACGGCCACTGCACCCCAGGCCCAGGCCCAGGCCCACCACGCTAGCTGGACCTCTTTTGCCCCTGCTTCCTGTCTGAGCCCATCAGAGGGGGCGCTGGACAGGCACCCTGTGGGGTGCCCAGGCTGCAGAGGGGCAGCAGCAGGAGGAGGAGAGGCTGGCCCGGCCTGAAGACCCATGGAGGCTTCAGAGAGGAGGCCTGAGGGATGGCAGGGAGCAGCCAGGCCAGCAGGGAGGGGACAGCTTCTGAGGCAGGGAGCAGCAAGGGGAGGGTGCAGAGTGCTGGGGAACCCAAATGGGTTTCTGAGACAGGGGGCTGGGAGCAGCGCCGACTGACTGACTTCCAGGCGGCCAGAGGCAGAGGTACACAGTTCCTCCCTGAGAACAGACACTGCACACACACCCACGGCCAGACCCTCCACACCTATAGCAGAAGGGAAACTGACCTCCCTCATGCATTTGGCCACGCCTGCTCAGGCCGGGCTCAAGGGCGAGGGAGCCCCGTCAGAGACCACACAGCAAGGGCTCTGGGAAGAGCAGCCCTGACACCAGCCTCAGGCTCTCCACCTGCACGAGGCAGAGGCAGAGACAGCGGTGGGGTCTGGCAGGCAGACACCTAACTTGGGCACTGGTAGGAGGCAGCAGGAGGCCGCGGGCAAGGGGCTGGGAGGGGACTGGCAGGGGGACAGCACTGACCAGCAGGATGGAATGCTTGTGACGCCCTGCTGGTTGTGGGGAAGGGGGTCCTGTGCACACCTGGTAAAGGGGGAGGCTGCCCTGGGAAATGAGGTTTCTTTCACCAGAGAACAGCTCTCGATAGCTCAGGTCAGCTCAAGGCCCACTGGGACCCAGAGAAGGCTGGGAAGGGACCACGCACGGCAGTGGGCGTCCCAGGGCAGTAGGCAGCCAGGTTGTATCCACCCAGGCCTCCACCCAATCCCGAGCAGCTGAAAGCCCCTCCTCCTAGGCCTGTTGCTCCCAGGTCAGTCTCTCCCATAGGAGCCCTTCATGGGATCCCACCCTGGGACCCCGGAACCTCGGCTAGAGCCCAGGGCAGCCAGGATAGAAGCCAGCAGAGCGAACCTACATCCAGACAGAGGAGAGAAAAAGCCAGGAAAAACCTGCTGGCCACAGGGACACAGCAGTGGAGAAAGATGCAATGAGGACAGAGACAGATTCCGAGAGATGACAGAGGCGAGAGGAGTGGTGATGGAGACAGAGGACAGAGCCAAGGGGGTGGGCAGGAGGTCAGAGGGCGAGAGCTGAGGCCTCCCAGGAGCTCTGAGCGAGGGTCCAGGGCCAAGCGGCGCGCTCGCACATCCCAGGCCCCGCCACGCGCACCTTCGCCGGCTCCCAGGTGCGCAGGGCCAGGTGTCGCTGTGGGCAGCCCCCAGAGGCACTGCTCTTCCCAAAGCCCGGCGGCGCCCAGCGGCCAAGGGCTGCCCTTGGTCCCCACTCCCTCCCTT